GTGTCATAATCAGCCTCCAGTGTTCGGGTCTAATCTGACTCTTTATAACACAGCAACATGTGTAAATATTCCAGAATATTTATTTTAGACCCCTTACTCTCTTTTGCACAAACATATAATGCACATCTGTCTTCATCAGGATCTGTCAGTGACTTTACATGAACACCTGCAGGAGACCAACACTGTACCAAAGCAAGCTCTCTGAGAATTCATAGTTGGGAATAGTTTTGTGCATTATTGTCATTTAATAGAGCATTAATGTTACCCTGCAACATCATTTTGTCATTCTGATAATAATGAAGCCCTGTTACTTTCATATTTGTCATATCTCACCTCATAAAATGCACAGATGAGCTGAAGGAATCATTTCCAGTGTATTCACACTCTTCATCTCCGCTGGTTTAAATTTCTAATGCTTTTTGAGTTTGTATTTGCTTTTGTTGCAGGAGACGTCCTTCTCCGGAAAACATTTACTCACCGCTTCTGTACAAATTGTTCAAACTCTCCTTTCACATTTATTATGCAAAAACTCAGCTTGGCACCTACAGTACCTGTCAGAATACCATAGCAGCAGAGGAATCCTTTTCTGTCCTCATGCTGCCCCCTGCTGGAATAGAGATGTAACTACAATCAAACCCCTTTAGTACTCATTGCAGTATGTTGTAGTTGTTTTTTTTTAAGTTTATCAAGGACTAAAGTAGTTTCTCTTCATACTTCTTACACTTTTTTCATGTGGTAATTATGATTTTGTGAGAAGTCTGTGATGAGCTGATCACACTCAAAGTATTGAGAAAGAAACATGATAAGTCCTACCATGTACACTTTGTAATGAAACTCCTCAAAATGTTATAGTTACTCACAATTTCCACTCATATTTATCTCAGGGTAGTGGTATGCTTTTCTAGTATTCTGCTAGATCCCTTCAATCACTTAATTTTTTGTTCTATGAATGTGAACAAGTTGTGAATAAGTTACAGTTTAAATTTAAACTAAAAAAAGTGAAAAGCACAAGCCACCCATCAGAACAGGGACATGACATTCACTTCAGTTTTCCTTTTTTTTACCTAAGTATAATTATAATTTAGTGAAATCTGTACTGTCTGAACCATGCACCCTATAAGTGAACAAATCAAATCAAGATTTATTTATATGGCGCCAAATCACAACAGTCGTTATCCCATGACGCTGTCCAAAATAAGAGTAGGTCTAGACCACGCTCATTGTTTGGTGAATTATCAAGATTAAACCTTAAGTTGGGACAGACTTGACCCATCTTATCCAACATGAGTGAGAGTGGCAAGGAAAGACTTCCTTTTTACAGGCAGAAACCTTGGGGAGGACCAGACTTATGTTAGACAGACACCAAGCCGCTTCTGGGTTGGGGAGAAATACAGAGAGATAGGGAGAGAGATAGGAGTAGGAGAGAGGGCAGGGGGGAGAGAAAGAGAACAAGGGAGTAGGAAGGAGAGGGAGAACGAGTAAGGAGAGGGAGGGAGGGAGAAAAGAGAGAGAGGGTGAGAGAGAGAGAGAGAGAGAGAGAAAGAAAGAGAGAGAGAGAGTGGACAGCAGCAAGATTAAAACTACAGCAATGACAACAACAGCTGAGGTGGACAATCATAGATGATGCAGCTGGGGTCAGGCAGGTCCACAGCAGACCGTCTGCAGCATTTGTCCAGAGGAACCTAAGAGACTCAGGGACAGTCAGAGAGAGAGAGAGAGAGAGATCTGGTTAGAAACTGGAACACAAAGATCTGAAAGAGAGAGGAGAGAGAGGGAGAGAGAGAGAGAGAGAGAGAGAGAGAGAGAGAGAGAGAGAGAGAGAGAGAGAGAGAGAGAGAGAGAGAGAGAGGGAGAGAGAGAGAGAGACAGACAGATAGGAGCTCAGTGTGCCAGATAATATTGTTAGAATATTTCCTGGTAACTGTTATAAGTTTCTGCTTTAAACATGATTATTGCTGTCTGAATCTAAATCTAAATCTTCAAGTTTTCATGTTTTTGACTGTAAGAAAAATACATTTGCATGGTCTGATTAAAGAGTCACAATGAGACAGACAATTGACACAATGAATAGAACAAAGACACAGGACTACATTAAAAACAGGAGGGCATAAATGTGTCACTAAAAACATGATTAAAAGGCAAAGTTCTCAAGAGTCGAAAGCCAAAGAGTAAAAGTGCATTTTCAAGTTTGATTTAAAAGCAGGCAGTGAGGGGGGCAGTCAGAGCATTCCAGAGCTTAGGAACAGCAATGGAAAAAGCCTAGTCACCCCTGAACTTTAATCTTGACCTCGGGACAGTCAGAGGACACTGATCAGAGGATCTGAGAGTCCGAGATAAAATATGGGGTTTGAAAGGGTCAGAGAGATAAGAAGGAGCAAGCCCGTTTAACCCTCTGGAGTCTGGGGTATAATTGGCCGTTTTTGACTACTTTTGATTTTACCTAAATATTTCCTTTTAAAGATTTATAAGTTAATAACAAAATTTTAAAATCAATCTTAAAATGCACAGGAAGCTGGTGAAAAGAGGCTAAAATGGGGGAAATGTGGTTATATTGACGGTGAGCAGATAAAACACGAACTGCGGCATTTTGAACCAGCTCTAAGCGATTAAGAGAGGTTTGGCAGGCACCAAAATAAAATGTGTTACAACAATCAAGACGAGTTGTGATGAAAGCAAGCATAACCTTCTCAAAATCATTAAAAGATAAAAAGATCTAGACACAGATTTAAGCTTCAGTCAGTAAAACTAAATGATACAAATAACCATGTTATCCCATCAGCCATGAGTGGAGCTGTACATACACTTTATTCTTTTTTTTTTTTTTAAACACTTTATTTGTTATTTTCAGTTAACATATAAAACATTCATATTCTCTGTATTAACTTTACAGTATTCTGACTTGTTTTCAATGATGGTGCATTTTAACTTGTTTTTATCAGATACAATCTATGGTTTTTATCTACAGTTTATACAGTGATCTCACCTTGTATCTACCAACAGCTTATTTGACCTTGATTTTATCCTTTTTACACTAAGCAAATCAAAGGAGGCCAACTCACTCACTGCAAACCAAATTAAACAATAGGTACAAATAAAGTAGCCTTGAACCTTGTGAAGTTTTCATTGAACAAAAAGCAGCACTGTGTGGATCAGAGTGGAGAATGTACTGAGAGGAAATTCAGCTATAAGATTATTGACCAAATGGAGATTAAACAAAAAAAACCCCACTCTAGTCAGTGCTGTGCCATGTGTTGGTATGAGTTTGTTTGTTTGTTTTTCTTGGAGGGGCAATATTTATCATATTTCTGAATTGATTTTTGATTTAATTAACTGTAAATTTGGTTCAGGGAACAGGTGGTCATGTAATCGACTCATCAGGGCTCCCACACAAACAAGCGGCTGCTGGAGAAGGGTGGGTGAGTTGTGTTTGGTCTCTTTGCTAAAGAAACCAGGCAAAGCTAAAAAGATGTTTGGTGTCTAGTACTATGGCTGGGACCCTATCTGTACTGTTGATGAAGTTAGGTGCTGTTCTGAGCATTATTTGTGGCTATAGAGTGGTTTTTTGGTTGAGGTTTGCACATGGAGACGTAGACCGCTTTGTATTACTATCATGCGGTTGTTACTAAAGTTGGTATAACTAGAGAAGCAACAGTCAGCAGCATTCATCTCTGGAGGAGATGTCTAACTCGGTGTTATGGTGTGTTTGTTCCTAACTTAAATTTATGCCGGAATATCCCTTTAAAACACACTAGTAGCTATTTCCTCAAAAAACATGTACTTGCCCTTTTGTTTACTTGTGTGTGTGTGTCTGCCTGATGTCTGACCTCTGACTGCACATCTCTCAGCCCACTGCAGGTCATCATTCATGATGTCACAACATCTGGAAGTTCAAAGGTCACAGGAAACCTGAAAGACAGACACTCACCCCATGAGGGCAATCAGAGGTGGTCAGACACCATCATTGAGCTCGTCTGAGACCTGAGGGCAGAACCACACAGCTGTCTGTTACACCAACAATCCATCGGGCCTTAAAATAGATTTTAGTTCATCTATTCGTAGACTGAAGCTATGCTGCTCTTACTTTAAAATTTTCACTTTTCTCTTGCAGCATTTTCTAACTGCAAAAGCATTTTAGATTTTAGGAATGTTTCAGCAGCAGTTCACTGATAAACCTTTAAAAAAACTGAGTAATGAGTGTGTGGCTGCTTTTGGAGCTTTTCACATGAGAATATTTTATCAGAAAAGCACTCTGTTATCAATTTTCTATAGGATTACACACCAAAATATTTAACACAGAGACAAAACTACTGTGGATGTGTAGAATGACTTCTAGGAGAACACAAAAAAATGAAAAAAAGAAAACATCAAAAATAAGCTTTCATTAAAGACCCACTCTGATGAAAATCATGTTTTTCTTGTTGTCTACATGTTCATATGGCATTTTCCTAATGCTACAGGACATATCATTAGAAAAAAAGTGCAAAATTGCATTTCTAGGTATTTCTTCATTCAAATCGTTGTAAATCTCTGGCAGACCCAAACGGCAGGTTCAGATACAGTGAGATTTTCTATGTCACAAATCCAAGCTCCACCCCCGGAGCCCCGCTATGCAGGCCACACTTGGAAAAGTAGAGAGGACGACTGCCGAACAAGCATGTGCGTTAGCGGATTGCAATGCTCGTAAGAAAGCTAATTATGATATTAACTTTAATCATGTCATCAAAGACATTAGTGTCCGAGAGCTGAATAGCTCCTGTGTTACCTGCTACTTCTGCCACACCAGCAATGTAAGACTGTATTCTAGCATTACGAGGAGGATGTAGAGCAGCGCTGTCTCCGCCCACAACTCAGAGGTGAAATGTGCTACTGGAGCTCTGCAGAAGAAAAGTCCTTGAAAATGACACAGGTAACATGATTTTTGGAAAAATTTCATAATCACAATTTAAAGACCACTGAGAACACTTTAAGTAGTGAAAAAAAAAGATTGGAGTGGGACTGGTAAAAAAAAAAAAAAGAAAAACTCAGTTGAAATTCGATGACTTTAATTTTGTAGGCACTTTTAATTCACACAAAGAAAAAAAAAAGGAGCGGAAAACCTAAAGAATAAGTCACATCCTCCTTATTATCATTACATTTATGTGAGTATGGTTTTTGTACAGATGAAAAAGGAAGCTCAATTAACACAATCACAGACTTTTTACAAGCTTATGGAGTTCCTGCAAAGAAAAAAAATAGAAAGCCATCTCACTTCAAACCCAGTTCAAGTGGAGGTCTGCCTTCTGAAAGGCAGCCGTGTCACACAGCCATTCAATCCATACTCAACCTCTGAGTGTCTGAAGGGTTTTAAAATGCACCGTGATGCAAGTCAGAGTAAACAGTAGTCCTGTGTAACAGAATGCAGATATGAGAGACAAGAGCAAATGAACAAGCCTACACTGTCTGTTTCATCACTGGAGAGTGGCATTGCTATGACCTATATTTTCATTGAATTGCTATAATGCTTGACAGAAAAGGCTCCGTGGTCTGAAAACATATTTGGTGGCTGCCAGTTCACTATGACAGGTTGAGCAGATCAGACCGACCAGCACATGTGGTTTATGTTCTTCTACAATGCTTGATAAATTCTGTGTTCATTGACTAAAAAATTCTCTCTGTACCCTTACAATTGATCTTTACAGTGAGGTTAGGGTACATTGATACTACTAATATCTGGAATTACAATACAGAACTTTAGTCCTCCTATACTTACCTACATGCAGTAGACACATCAAAATCCTTAAAAAAAAACTGGCCCTACTTTAGTTCTATAAGCCGCATGCAACAAAAATTACAAAGCAAAAAGGAGGTGAAGGGCAGCAAGAATCACAAAGGGACGGGTATGGGAGTATACGCTTTTTTTTAGCTTCTTAGTGCTACACAGAGGGAATGAGAGAAGAAGAGCAGAATGTACAGGATGAAAAAAGACAAAGAGAGGGACAAAGATTTTTGTCATGATTTCTGTCCTTCATGAGCTCTTGTTTTCAAAGTAGGTCTGTTCGATGCGTCTGCAGAAGGACAGCAGGTTGCTGTAGCTCTTGATCCTTTCTGCCAGCTCAGTGCTGGTCAGTCTGGTGGTCAAGATAGTGAAGAGGTGACCAAATACCAACGCATCCAGTTCTGTGGGCCTGCAACACACAGAGACACACACACACACACACTCTGTTACTGTTGAAATCAGCAACTGAATTCAAGAAGGTGGATACAGTCATCTGCTTGAAAATGGGTGTAACCCTTAGCACTGAATTCAGGATGGCAGGACTGTGTATGTCTGATTGTGTGTTTCAGAGTAATGACCGTCACTATCCAATTTTAAGAGGGAATTTTCCACTTGTTGATTTTGGCTCCCCCTTGTGGGCATAACAGTCCATGTCTTTGCTGATTTTCCCCTGTGAGCGTGCAAGTGGCCGGCTGAGCTGATTTGTTCACATCAAGGGTTGGTGCACCCCGTAAAGTTTGAAAGGACAAAAAAAAGGGTTAAATAGTGATGTTGCACGCCGGTTTTGCCACACACTAGGTTTGCCACACAAAAATGGACATGAATGAGCAGGCTGTTGTTGAGAGGAGAAATGATTGAAATAAGTGTAATCAAACAAAGAAAAGTTAAACTAAAATCTTCCGGCTGTTTATGACAAACAATAAGCATTTGTGCTTTTGATGTCTTGTTTATTATATATATTCTATATATATTCTTGGGTACAGTTGGTCTGGGGTCAAGTTCAGGTCGTCATACATCGATGCTATTTATATCCAGTTTGCACCCTTGGTAGGCGAAGAAAGGTAGGTGGCATGAAATTATTTGAGTGGTGTGTTATTGTTTGTATTGTAAGTTTACTTGGGTGCACACTGCGTGTGGTTTTAATGATGTTGGGGGAAATTGTTCTGTGTAAATGTTACGGTGTGTGTGTGTTGAGGGAATGTATTCATGAATTTAAGATAATTTCAATTGTTTTAATGGTAAAGTTGTGTATAAAATGCCAATATTTAAATACTGTTGTGTATGAATTTGTCATGATAAGAAACTATTTGTATTTTTGCTGTGTTTTTATTTTGACGGTACTCAAACAAGGAACAAAAGTTCTACCAGTCGATCGCAACGTTGTGTTTATTGATACCAAGGGCTGTAACAGAGGGTGTAAGTAGAATTTTCCTGCAAAAGAATCTAACCCTCTTCACAGTAAACGTAAAGACGAGAAATTCACAACAAATCTTTGGCTTGTTAAGTTTTATAAAAGGCTGAGATGAGAGAAGGCCTTCCCCCCAGCAGTAGCTTCATGTGTCATGACTAATTTCACACTGTCTCACCAGTGTTCTCCTCACGGGAACTCTGCATATTTCTCTGCACTCTCATATTCTGAGGTGCCACTGCTGGTTAAACATTTCCATGCACACTCCACATCCAGTACACTTAAATATATCAAAGGTCGCAATGGGATAAGTCCTGTGACTTCTTTGGATTTTTATCCTTTTTTAAATTGTGTTGTCATTATTATATTGCAATTGCATTAAATGCAAGTGAAACTGGAACATGGGATGTTGTTATGCAACTTATTCAAAGCCAGTAAGGTGTTCTATAGGCACAGCTAAATTCTCCTTTACATCTATGCATCTTTTCCTTGTTTCTTTGTCCCTCCCACCAGAGATGCATGGACAGATGCAGGGACATAAAGCGTAAACCAGGCATTTTCAAAAGTACATGGCACGTCCTGTCTCCGTCCCACCACTAGATCAGCTGCCAAAGCATAAACTGCTGTTTGTGTCTGCACACATGTGCACTGCTCTAACTTGAATAAAATACACACAGTACCGGTGTTTTGTCTCTGGGGCATTACCTTTTTAACAAACACCTGCTCATGGAGAAAATTCACTGTCCTGTTCATAACCATGTGGACCATTTCACCAATAAAATGCATCTTTATCAAATCATTTATATCTGGATTTACATTTGGTGCATGTTATGTGAACCTCTGTCTTTTCAATATAGGCTACTTTTATAGTGTCTCCAGGAACACTGGGTATCATTTATTAGGTTTAAAGTTCCTAGGGGGAAAAATATGATGTAACACTTTATAATCACAATCTTCATTAATAATCAGTGTGATATAAATCTAAAGTATATTGAATTTCCCTTTGGGGATCAATAAAGTTCTTCTGGTTTTGGTTAAATAGCATATCAGTGGAAAAAAAGAGAGAGAGTAATTACACTCATGAATGACACCCTACTGTTTTAATTCTATGAAAGTTATACTCAATATCTAATTCTTAATAAAGAGCTCAAACATTTTTATCTCAGCTCATCACATATCTGGTATATTTTATGATCTGTTTCAAGGCAGCTTAGTGTTTGTCTTTGCTCTGTTATTACACTCTGGGGATGTTGTGAAGTTTCTGTGAAGTCAGATGTGCTGCAGCAGTGTTTCCCCAACACAGACTTTACTTCGGCGGCCACCCAAGAAGATGAAAATAAAATAAAAAATAAAGAAAACAGCAGGGTTTCCTCCAGACAAAGGCAGCACAGCATGGGACACTCTGGTGAATGTACAAAAGCACACCCAAACTGTTGCGCTCTGGCTACACTAACATTGTTGATGATATACTGTTTTCTTCCTCATACAGTTTCTGTTATGGTACCACATAATCATAAACCTTAGTTTGACTAGCTTATTTCGAATGCACTTATCAAACATCACAGCGCCACCCTGCACTGCCCAGCCCACCACCACAAGTTAATCATCAACCCGAAACCCTGAGTTAGTAATATCTTACCTTATGTGCCTGTCAGTTAGAGCACCACTGTGAAGCCTGCTCTTGTGTATCCACATTTATCACTACTAGGGCCCGACCGATTAATCGGTGAGCCGAAATATTTTCAGAAATAAAATGTGGAAAATAAGATTTGGTCTCACTTTGAAAATGTTCCGCCGTTTGAAAAGTTCCCCGACTTATCCTGTAGATGGCGCAGCGACCTCATGACAGTCTTCATCCACTAACTACCTCACAGCACCGCAGAGTAACGGATCTGAAGCAGGCAGCTCAGGGACGCACAGAGGAGAGTGGTCCGCCTCAACGGTAAATAAACCAGTTGTGAAATACACAATAGGTCGACAAGTTTCAGTTCAACCCACTTCACGATGTTCCTCGCTGTGCTGGTCTCGGTCACGCTGAGTTAGCGGTAAAGCACCATGTAATATGCAAGCTAAAGTTAGAGTTAGCCATCTGCTATTAGCCCTGCTACACTGTTAGCCCTGCCAATAACGGTAGAATAAACAACAGTTCACATTACGTGATCGAGCTACTTCTCTTACTGAGGCAGCTGCATGTCTCCAGATGAGACCAGAAATAAGTAACATGGGGGTGGTTTAAAACGCTTTTCTGGTCTGAGTTTGATCAGTCAGTCTTCCTGTCAGCGTGAAGAGTAGTAGCCTACAGTATATCTACAGTATATAGTATACTGTAGATATATACTGTAGATATCTACAGTATATATGTATTTTTTATAACTTCATAAAAATTTGAAAAATCGTCTGATTAATCGGTAATGGGATTTTTCCCCCCCTAATAATCGGCATCGGCATCGGCCCCAAAAAATCCATATCTGTCGGGCCCTAATCACTACCCTGATTTCCCTCCTCTCTCCCCAACACTCTCTCCTTTGAGCTGCAGTTAAAGCTTTAGAGCGCTCTGTGACATGGTAAGTTCAGCCAAGATGGAAGAAAATATCCATTCAAGAGCTCTGAGAGTGAACTCCCCTGAGGTATATTATCTCACATTGTCCCCTTAATACTGTTATCCAGCTTCTATAACAGACAGATACTCACTGTTTATTAAAGAAGTATGGTTGTGTGCCCAGCCGCTGAGAGAGAGCCTGGCAGCACTGACTCACATCCTCGTAGACCTGAAATAAATTATCAGGAAAAAAAAGCATCTTTTTATAATTTTATATCATTTTTTAGACAACTAAAGTGTAGTTGTGCAAGAAACAAGTTTTCAAGCATGATCTAGCGGATATAATTCTCAAACCTGCTCCAGAGATTTCCCTCCCCAGCCGATGGCGTTCATCTTCCTGCGGACCTCCCACTGCTTCTGATAGGACAGGATACTACACAGAGGCCAGGAGTATGGACTGCTGTACCTGGGACGGGTGATCTACACAAAAACACACACACTTATAATCTGAGAGGCAATAAAAAAAATCATCACTCGAATCATTTTTAAAATGTAGACTTACCTCAGCAGCTGTGGCATCATCACACCACTGGACGTACAACTGCAGAGAAGACAGAGAGGTGACTTCAGAGTGTTGATGTTATCCAGCTGAAACAGGATGAGACTGGACCAACTGTGTGCTCTGTTTGCTGACTGTGTGAATCTTTGAGTGTGCGTACCTCAGCTGTTAGCAGCATGTTGTTGACTAGTTCCATGTATGCTTTCATTTCAGCTCGCTGAACATCATCTAAGGAATCACTCAGAGAATGACCCTGAGACATAAAAATCAAAGTATTATTGCTTCTCATCTTAGAAAAAAAAATATACAGGATATTCTTCATAATAAATTGAAAAAGACATCAACAGTGATTTCCTGACATGAAAAGAACCTTAAGGCTCATTTATGCTCGTCATACGTATAAAAATATACGCGTCCATTTCATTGATGGTTCCGTCACTGTCCACATACTTCCATGCGTCCTTTACATTGGCATGGATGTTAACCATTACATCCACCAGGGGACAGGCTGGAGTCAAAAGTTTCTGACAACAGCAAACAAAAGGAAATGTGGCGACTGTGGAGGAGCTAGTGATAATGTAGATTTTGCATAGGAGACAAAAACGGAGGCAGTGTTGGAGGAGGCAGCGGTCGGTCAGGCCACTAAATGCCTCACTGTTGGAGGATGGAAGATTCTTTTCTTGAGTATGACAAAAATTGACAATGATCCGCAAAAACCCCACCATTGTCTTCTTCATTTCTCTCTAGAGATGCGTATCAGGTAGTGACAGCAGCAACACTGCCCACGTGGTTTCCAGTGGTACTGCTCCGTCTGGCGCGTATCCGTAAACTTCAAGGATATGTGCAGAAATACAGACGAAAAGAACGCAAAGCACAGACAGAGAGCTCCATCTGTATCCGGATCAGTATGTAACATTGAGCATAAATGAGCCTTTATGAGATAAAATACATCAAAGTGCTTAGAGTCTGTATCAACTTTGACGTGTAGGATACACACCTTAGCCTTGGTAAATTGCACGATTGGCCCCAGTTCCGACACCACCTGGTTTCCAACATGTATGAAAGGAATTTTACCTACAAAGAAACAAACATATTCCAAAAAAATGGATGGAGTCGGACATTACAAATCATGACAGTATTTTCTAAGAAGCACTGATGATAATGAAACACACGGCTCAACAATGGGAGAGAGAAGACCAAGAGTGTGCAAAGCTGTTATTGGGGCAAAAGGTGGCTCCTGTGAAAAATCCAAAATATGACATATACTCTGGTTTGTTAAGCACTTTTTGGTTGACTAAATAATTCAATCTGTTCCTTTATCATTTTTGAATGTCTCAATCATTAATTGAACAATGTAGAATACAATTTTAAAAGTTAGGAGAAACCACTGAATGAAGAGGTGTGTCCAAACTTTTGACTGGTATTATACAAGTCCAAGAACTCAGTGGTACTAAGTGCTGAATAAATCAACTAGGTAAAAACAGCAACTGGATTCACAATATTAGACATTAAAAAACAGATGACGAATGAAAAGCAAAGTCAATATTGTTTATCTTTTGAATGAGATACATTCATGCTGATATTCAAAAGGACAGAGCAGGAGCAACGACAGCAAGTCAACCTCTTCAGCAGAGTGTATTCTTACCAGAAGGGGACATGTATTCAGCATTTGCTTTGCAAACCACCTGCACTGGTAGACCGCACATCCGGAGGTAGGCCTGTGAGATTAAGAAATAGACAGTCAACTTCAGTATTACTAATAAAAAGGCAAAACATTATTTTTATTTTATTCTATTTTATTTAACCTTTATTTAACCAGGTGAGGCTTTTTGAGATATAAAATCTCTTTTACAAAAGAGAGGCAGCAAAGTTACAGAGTTACAGTAAAATCATTTAAAATAAATAACAATAACTCAATAAGAAATACAATAGAATAAAATAAATAAAATTGTCAGTGACAGAATAGAAGCAGTGTAACATCTTGTTAAAAACAGTCACAAAGGCCAATGCTTTCCATTTCCCTCATTTTAAGAATTTTCACAAAGTCCTCAAAGGGGATCAGATCTGATCATTTTAGTTCCTTCTGTAGCGGATTCCATGCAGTAGGAGCAGCAAAGCAGAAGGCCCTTTTTCCTAACTCAGAGGGGACACGAGGAGTATTTAACATCAACAAGCCAGTGGATCGTAGCCTATAATGTCCATTATTTCTCACAAGGTAAGAAGATCCAAGATAGGATGGCACCATCCCAAGTAAAGCTTTGTAAATATAAGTCAACCAGTGAGTGAATCTTTTGACAGACAGGGAGGGCCATTCTGCTTTTTTGTACAGAGTGCAATGATGCGTCAGATTCTTGCATCCAGTGACAAACCTTGAAGCACAGTGACAGACAGTATCCAAGGAATGTAGACATGTGACTGGTGCGTGCATATACAGTACATCACCATAATCAAGCAATGGAAGAAAGGTTGCTGAAACAAGACGTTTCCTGGCTCCAAGAGAAAAGCAAGATCTGTTCCTAAAACAAAAGCCCAATTTTACCTTAAGTTTAGAAATTAGGTTTGAGATATGATATTTGAAATTTAGACAATCGTCCAGATGGAAACCCAGGTACTTATAGGAATGATACTAGCTCAATGGCTGCACCCCCGCAGGTTAACACGGGGAGATTTATTGACAGCACAGTAGCCCTGGAAAACAGCATAACCTTTGCCTTATCAATGTTCAAGACCAGTTTCAGCCTTTGGAGGCAGGCCTGAACAACATCAAAGGTCGACTGCAGACGAGTGAAAGCATGCACAACAGACGATGCACAGCAGTAAATGACTGTATCGTCTGCATAAAAATGATAGAAGGCGTCTGACAGATTGTTACAGAGATCATTTATTTAAATAGAAAACAGAATGGGCCCCAACATCGATCCTTGTGGTACCCCTTTTGAGACCATCAGAAATGTAGATGTGGAGCCTGCCATCTGGACACACTGAGACCTACATGATAGGTCATTCCTGAACCAAGAGACTGCATGCTCAGACCTGCAGATATGCTGCAGGTGCACAGATGTTCGTTTTAAAGACCAAGACTTCGCATGTAATCTTAATTTTACCACGTGTCAATATGGTCAATATCCAAATCACAGATGCTGTATTTTTTGATCAGGATAAAATGTGTGATAAACTGCATCATAATCAAACGTTAGAATGTTACAGAGATCCCTTGATCTATTTCTAGATTCATGAAAATGTGTTTTTGTTTGTATCAACTCTGACATATCAGTTTTAATATTCAAAATATTACAGTTTTTCCAGTAAAATGAAAAATTGTGACCTCGGTTTTGTCATTTCTACTGGTTGTGATCCACAGTCCAACTACAATATCTGTTAATGGGCAGACACAGACTTACAGAAACAAACAAACTTTACCTGGACAGCAAGAGATGAGGCACAGTCTGAAAGCAGAATCTGATCCTCTGTTCCACATAGAAAAACAAATATACATTATTATGATATACTTTTAAAATACACAACAAAACAGAGTGGAAAGCACAACAACAACCATACTAACAGCATGCTTTCAGAGTAGGATTTCACAGAGTTTGTGCATTTCAGTCAAGTGACTTACCCTTCAATGGTTGGTACAAGGTTGCAGTTTCAGGCCAAGGTTCAGCAGCTGTCAAGCCAAGTACAGAAACACACAGACAGACCCACATGCAGAAATATAATGAATGAGAGCCACATAGGTTTATACAGCTGAAGGACATAACCGTTGTATTTCTCCTTTAATGCTTTAAAATTTGGGTTAATGCATTAGTAACAGTTTTAAAGGGCAATTTCACTATACAACACCACTGCAATATCTGATCAATTACAAGACAATAATAAACTACAAGTTATATTTCAATACCAAAAAAAAATCTAAACACCTCTGTAGGTAAATCACAGAAGTAATGTCATAAGTGCCACCTCAATAAGTAAGGTAGCACTGACACAGTGCACCAAGTTAAGGCAAACCCCATTAGAGGACTGTATTATTTCTAGTTTTAAGTATCGATTTTTTGCCCATGATGCGATAAGTGTATCCCACAAATAGGGCTGGGCGATAAAACGATAACGATATAGTGAAATTAATTTCCGGCAATATCAATTTAAAACATGGTCAATATCCTTTTCGATAGTCATCATTCTGCCATGTTTTGGTAGACTAGCCAATAGCCAACGACAAGGGGAGTTGCTCCAGTTCCACTTCACACTGAACCAATCATGTGCTGAAATAGAACCAAGTAGCAAACAGCTGCATAGTAGCACGCTGCAGCTACACGCAACCATAGCACTTTAACACATGAAGCCGACAGCACTGGCTCTGAGAAAAAAAGAAAATGAGTGCTACCCCCAGCAGAAATGCAGATGAAGGCTCAACAGATGACGACACTGTCAACAACACTGGTACGAAACCGTCAGAGGTTTGGAGGATTTTGTTTTTTTGAGGTCGGACATGAAGCAGAGTAATGTGCACTCCAAATTATGTTGAGTACATGTTCTCGCAAAGTTGTAAACTACCTCAAATCTTTTACACCACCTGAAGCAGTGTCACGCAGCAGAGCACACACTATTCAAAAGGTTACGAAGCCCAAGCGGAGCAAGCCCATGGCGCCTGTGCAGCTGAAACAGACCACCATTCTGCTTTCTCTTGCGCAACACCTTACGACAAAACGTCAAAGAGACACAAAGACCTCACAGACCTGCAGTGGCTTATTGTATTGCAAGACATGCTACCAGTAAGTACTCTTAAATTTAATTTTCTATATTGTGATATGTATCAATATCGACTAATATGAAAAACTATATATTGATAAACTTTTTCCCATATCGCCCAGCCCTACCCACAATCCAGGACTATGGTGTATTGTATGTATATGTGCTCATGGGCAGAAAAAGACATGTTCTTCTTAAACTCCATACATTCTATATAAACTCTGAATAGATTACTCTATCCTTTCGCAGATTACGCTCAAAAACTGGAATCTCACAGCTGCCCTTGATGGCCAGATGTCAATTCACAACAGATGTCATGATTGTTGCAACAAAGTTTTCAGCCACCAGGGTCAGCATCGGGCAGACCAGAGCGAATCGTACCCGGGGAGAGCGAGAAGGAAAAAATGATTTCGCCTCTGTGGGCGTGAGGTCGATGGTAAAGTCAGTGAAATGTAGGTGAATTTCATGGAAGAAGGACGTGTTTTGGGAGCTCAACAAATAGCTGACAGCGACGTGAATCCACCTGAATTGTTCTGACTTGAACTCACTGGTGTGTTTTGTCAACAGTAGTACCTGAACAAAACCACTTCGTCAGCAGTGTACACCCACATTACTCCTCTAGGTTGAATTGTCAGTCTAGGGCACAGCTTGTGTTAGCCACGTTTGTCATTACCGAAGAAAAAGGTGACCAAAGAGCCACACAACCACACGCACAATAAAACTCGAGCAGCCCTACTTCACACTACGCCGATGATCATTGTTTTTAATGAAAACGTAAGTCCAGAACAGCTGTATTTATGTCCAAAGTTAGCTGACAACAGTTAGCTTAACCGCAATATCACAGCTGGTGACAAAGTCAACACTTTACCTGCCATCTGCGACACAAACGCCTCTGCCGCAAGAGACATGATGATGCTTTAAAATCCTTATCGCTCAATGTGAAATATAAGGTGAAACAAGGCCAATTCCGCTGCATGCAAGTTAAAAGGGCAAGCACTTGCTCTGCAGTCACCGTTTGGTGCGTCTGCGATTGATGCCCGTGTAGGAGTAACGTAGCTAAACATTTGTTCCGCTTTACAGCAAATCGACTAGAGTCAGTGTAAACTATTTTTCCGTCGTAATGCAGAAGTCATACGTGGGGGATTTATATTATAACAATTTGTGGTGTTTCAGTCGTGCTTTTATTTCTATTAAGTTTTTTTTTAATTCCTTGATTGTATGCTCGCCGTAGGAGAAAGGCAGACGATAAAAAAGGAAGCTGTATAGCAATTTTGTGATATAAAAAATATAAAAAAATGGGTGTTTTACATTAAAATGACAAATAGTCAGAGAGGGATTCTGGGTTCTTTTTTTACGGTTTTATGTTTTCAGTTACAGGGTTTAGCTTAAGCAGACCATTTCCATTTTCATACTAGTGTAGCCTATGTGCAACTATTGATGTAGGCTACTTATTCTCTAAATCGTGACGGTGAACGAGTAGTCTGGATAGCGTCACAAATGTGTCTTTTTTTTGTTGTTTCTCAATTAAAACTCGTGATCATGATCTTGCCTCTAAGCAGGTGTATAAAAACACCATCTTCACGTTGACTTCTCCGTCCTCTCACAAGCTGCAGTTCCTTAAAGAGCCACTCGGGGTCGTCCGTGCTTCACCACGATTTGGCAGCTTTAGGGCGGTCGGTTTGCTACGAGGACACTGAGCTCATTATGTCCACCAAGAACCAACTCTGACCCCTCAGATATGGCAAAATGAGATAAACTGGATTCATGAATAAAGTAGATGATTATTTATTTTGTGAACTTGGGATAATAGGTCGATCTAAAATAAATGATAAAGCTGGTGTTTCACATTCACACACATCGTCTGTGCCGTTTATTCATAATCTGTGGCCTATATGTTTGCAATTTTAGTGCGGACAAAACATCCATATAATTAATGTATGTATATATTTATATTTGAAGTCGATTTAAAATAGACAACGGAATCAACCAAATATTCACACAGCCCCTGTTTTGGTGTTTTGTTCTTTTCTGATGTATAGGCCTTGAGCAGAGCAAAAAAAAAAAAAAAAACAGTTGACTGTCTCGAATTTCAGGCCTCCAAAACTTTTTTTGCCTGCCAGTGGATATCTTGGCTCTTGTTGCTCTGGCTGATCGGCTGTGGTAGATCCCCAGCATGTGATAGATAATCCATGTCAGCCTCTTTCCTGCACATTTAACCGCGTCTCGACCGGAAGCCACCGATTATTTCCACTCGTTTCCCTTACAACCCCCCCCCCCCCCACACACACACACACACACACACACACACACACACACTTGTTCACATGCACATCCCCACGCACATTTAGACAGAGAAAAATGAATTCAGTCACCTTAAGTAGCCTAGCAGCCTATGTCCACCATGCGCCGTGTGTAAACGATGCGTAAAAACGCATGAGTTCCGCCAAACGGATCTTTTAACCACAAGAACCCCAAAACCAGTGATTCATGTATCTCAAATTTTAGTGAAATAAAAATGTTAAAACTACTCAAACACAGAACCTCATTTGTGGGGAATAGTACTTCTCAACATCACGACTAAAATATCTTTGTGCCATGGCTCATGAGGGAAAATTTGGTGGTGGAAAGACTGAACTAATCATTTAGTTAAGACATGGCGGACTTGTTGCCATGGTTCATCTCAATTTATTCACTAAGTCTACTTATCTTCAATATACTTTGAATTTGAGGTGTTTTATAATTATTACTATTTCTTTTCTGTGTTTGTAAATAAAGTGCTTGAGATGAAAATTGTGATAATGATTGTCATATATCAACTGTGTATGCAGTAGCTCTGGAGATCGCCACTCTCCAACCCGTCACCCCCAAACAAAAGGCGTCCTTCGTTTTGGTAGCACATGGACATACAGCATACGTGCGCGTACTACGAAAAAAAATCACAGTTTTTCAGTTTAAATCAGTTTATTTTTAATCATCTAAGTATCAAAACATTTTCCCTTATAAAATCCTTACACAAGAGATCTTTTTAAAATGTACATATACAAAATCGAACAGAGATGATGCTTGCTACAAAAATCTTTCTAAATCATACAAACAGAAATAAGTACTGGCGTGGGCCTATAGGTTGTGTAACAGAAATCAATAGCATATTATACTGGAATCAACGAGAACATATTATAATAACATAATGAATTGCTGTTTCAAAGAGGATTTATTTAATTCACCTCGGTGCTTAAAACAACAACAACAACAAAAAAAGAAATGCTCGACAAAAGTTCTGTTTTATTTCAACCCTGTAACCCTGAGAGAGTATGTTGGAAACACAGTTAACTTCGTGCATTTAAAACTGTATCTCCGATTTGGCTGTGTGTTAATCTTACAGATGTGTAACGTCAAACCAAAAAATGTATACATTGGCATGTCTAAAAAAATCTGCACAATATGGCTGCTTATCCCACTAGATACACGCTGATTTTGGTTGCTCCTTGTAAGTTAAAAATAAATGCTTGAACATAATTTTCCCAAGTCATTTGGTCAATGATTTTAGCCTCCATAAGCGCCAGTCTGCGGACATTTTGTTTGGTAATGTGCATATTTATAAGTTAAGTTCTTTTATCATCTAGGTAGCTATTTATAAACCCTGTATTATCTTTACCCTGTAGAAATAAAAACCCTGTTTTCTCCATAGACACGAGCTCTCCTCGCTCACCGAGGTCAAAAATTGCAAGTCCCTGATTTCACCTTTTTCAGAGACTTGACCAATAACCGACCACGACGTTATCATAATATGGGACCACAAACAATTAGCTATTTATGAATGAAATACTGGACTAAATTGTCTGCAATAAAATGGAAAAAAAGCTATAAAGCAAAATACATGAACACGTTTATAAAGCCATGGAGATCCCGTCATTGAAAGCAGTTCATCGGCTAAATGTGTTTGTTAGCTGTATCCACTCTGGATGTATCATTCTAACAGAGTGAAGGTGCCAACAAACAAACTGTGTTCCCACTATCCTTTGTTCAAACGGTTATCACCACCTTCACGTTACTGCTACTACTGCTGCTGCTGCTGTTGCTGGTGGTGTTGCTGTTGTTGTTGTCCGATGTTTTCTTGCTCTTATTCTTTCCTTTAGTGTTCGGTAGCTTGTTGTCTTTCTTCCAGCGCATGCGCCTGTTCTGGAACCAAACCTTCACCTGCCGCTCGGACAAGCAGAGCGCGTGAGCCACTTCGACGCGGCGGCGGCGCGTGAGGTAGCGGCTGAAGTGGAATTCTTTCTCCAGCTCCAGAACCTGCTGGCGCGTGTAGGCCGTCCGGAGACGCTTTGGTTCCGGGCCCACGTGGTTTGGATTTACTGCAGAAAACAAAACATGTATAAATAAAGGGAGGAGGGATAAATATCGATTACTTTTTGTGAGGCCTGTCCCACTATCACTTCTTCCACATTTAGTTTCTGCCTATACTGTTTGGATTTTTAACACCTCGATTGGAGATCTTTTTTGAAACGGATAAAGTAGAATTAATTTGCTACTATTTTTGATTCTATGCATAAAAACACAATTAAGATAATGAGAATTGAAGTGAGCGACAAGACTTCTTCATTAGTACAACTGCAGTTATTGTTATGAGGCAATTGTTAGTGCTACTGTCCATTTGTTGTTGACTGGGAAGACGTCCAAAAAGCTTGTTTTCACTTCTAACCTTCACTTTTTTTTTGTTAAGCCGCACATACATACTCACACTCACTCGCACACAACCTATACGCATACACGTACACACACACGCACACACACACACACACGCTGTGGCAGAGCCATAAAACTTTATAGGGGTTGTAATTCTCCCTGACTCTCACTGCGATCATAAATAACTCGAGAACACAAAAAGGGTGCTCACAAATGGACAAAACACTAGAAAGAAAGAAAGAAAGAAAGAAAGAAAGAAAGAAAGAAAGAAAGAAAGAAAGAGAGTGTGCCTTGCAGACTCGTGAAGCATAAACGCAGGAATAGGGGAGCAAAAGTGATGGAGAAATGAAATGAATAGAATGATTCAGAGATAGAGGGATTGAAATCTTGAGTATCCTCACCATGAGCGACATGCACTTTCTTCATCCACGGGTAGACAACAATAGGCGGCTTGTCTTTGCCCTGGCAGGCCGTCTTCCTCTGCACCTGAGCGGGCTTTGCGCAGGTCATCCAGGCCTGGCACTGGAGGTCACCCACGGGGAACCTCTCCTTACCGGTTGCTTCTGTGTCCCTGTAGCCAGGGTACGGCGCACCTTGGTGCTGCGTGTGCTCCTCTCCATCCTCCCGGTGGTGCCCCTGCAAAGAGTGTTGATAGCCGGTTTGTTGTGCTGAGTATGGAGGGGGCTGCATGGACTGATACCCCCCTCCATAAGTACCACTGTCCTGAGGGTTGTTGTAATACCCCCCTTGGTCACTGAAATGACTGTAATCTTCTTCACATGGCGGGAACTGCGGCTCAGCATATTTACAGCTCACCACGTAGGACTCCATGATTGATTTATAGCGAGGTTGGAAGGAGAATACTAATTTTTCTTTCTCTCCCCTCTCTCTGTCTCTTTTCCCCCTCTGGCATCAAGCCATCCTGCGGCTGTCAAATAGACGAACTGCCACGCGGCTCACGTGACCCCATGGCCAGCCAATGGGAGGCTGCACTTTGGGTTGTTTATGTCCGACGTAATGGGATAATTTAGAGGAAAAAATGTTCATGATGGGGCTAATGAAGTTTTGCTGGCGTGGACGTGGTTAACAATAGATGATTGTGAACCAAAGAATAACGTTTGCAGTCTTTTAAGTCTAATTACCCAAGATTTTAAGAGATGCATTTTTCCTGATGTTTTCTATCTATCTATCTATCTATCTATCTATCTATCTATCTATCTATCTATCTATCTATCTATCTATCTATCTATCTATCTATCTATCTATCTAATCTTGTGTCTCCATCATCCCTCTCCTCGCCCCTCCCACGCGCAGCTCCCATTGAAAACGCACCGTGGACTGTAGATTTATGACTTTTGGCTGAATGACTTTTACCCCCACACAGATGGCCTGAGCTGAAAAATTAATCTAGCCCATATTGAGCGATGGCCCGGGCCATATTTGGCCTTGTGTGGAGCGGGTCAAAGGGATGGACAACAAAACATTGCCGGTCAGAAAGGGCCTCTAATAAAGAGAATGGGATAAAAGGGACTAGACAGTGACTAGTAGTTGGCTTTGTTTGGCCGAGGGGTCACCTCGAGGTGTCCCGTTCACCACCACCATCACTGAGTCGGTTCGCTTTTTAAAAGAGGAGAGAGAGAAATGCATCACTTGGTTTTAAAAAATGATGCCAAATCAAGCTGAGGGTCAGAAAAATGCGACGGGTATGAGAAATGAAAGCAAATAACAAAAACGGTGACGAAGATGAGTGAGAATATGCTAAATACAAGCCCCCACACGATGAACAAGCCTTATAATGAAAGTGCTTTTATTCTGAAAGATGGTAAACTCGTTTTTTCTTTTTCAAAATAAATCACAAACGTAAGAATCCTGAAACCGCATATTTGCCCCTTTGGATTTCATAAAAATGTCTTCTTTGGCTGCGGCTGTTCTCTCGGGATGCTGAATGTATGATGCTCAGCCAAAACCTCTTTAGTATGCATTGCTATGTTACCTCTACCTAATATATAACAGTGATGATATTAATAAAGAGAAGAGGGAGAAAATGTTTTTGCTCTGCTGCTCTGAGGCATTTAAGGAGCTCATGCAGAGGGTGTAATGGGTTTTAAGATTTTAGCATGGCTGGCTAAAGGTTATATGGGCTTAATCTATCTGATCTAATGACTCATTTCAGCAGTGAGGCTCATAATAAATGAGTGAAAATGACTGAGAAGCTGTGAGGTAGCCTTTAAAAAGGCTAGATCTCACATTTTTATGACAGATTGTAAGTCTTTCTTGTCTGTTTGATGGTCAGTGATAGAGTAGTGTCATCACAAGTATTTAAACATGAAATACAGGAGGTGATTTAGTCTCTTGCTGCAACAGATTCAGTGAAAATACCATCAAGTTAAGTATTTATACTCTAGTGTGCAAAGGGAAGCGTTAATGCATGTGATTGAGCAGATTCATTTGGAAAAAAATGCAACCAAACTGATTTTTAGTCACTTTTAAATCATTTAAAGACATAATTTATGACATTAAGGCAGCGCACGGCAGCAAAGTTATTACTCTTAATACAATATAGGCTACACAAGCAGCTGCGTAAGGGTTTTGAACCATGAAATAACCAGTAACCTCTTCATCAGTTTTTTTGTTGTAAACCGCAATCAAGCTATTGTGTTTTCATGTTTCCCTCTCCCTGTGAGTAAGCTTTGTGCTGCAGCCACAATGCTGTTTTTGATTTCTTAATCAAGACTCAACTAGGCAGATCTTATTGCTACCAGGGAATTAGATCCAGAGGAGCAATCATACTGTATAACCATCCAAACCCATTACAGATGCAAACAACACGGAAAAAAAACAGTGGCTGCTGTTGACATGTTTTAAGTAAACTGAAACTCGGGAGCAGGAGAAGAAGCATCACAGTTATGAGTTAGTACTCTTCTTGCTGCGTTTTGACAGATGGTTAGTCGTCGCCCATAGACTCCCCTAGAACCCAATCTGTGACTGAGGCAGCTCCACACACATTCGGTTCTACAGGGTATGTATAGGCGAAGTTTCACTCCACAGACAGTTGGTAATGATGACTCCTTTTTGTTTTCTGACAGGGATTCACACTCAGATTATTGTATTTATAGTTTCATCCCAGAATCATTACAGCAAAACATCCTAAACCCATTTTATGATTAAAAAAAAGTGCATTATTTTATAGTTCAACATATCATCATTGGGTAATTTGACGAAACAATTAAAACGCTGTAGCTTATAAATTTTGTCATTAATAACCTACCACTTGTGCCACATTAATAATGCACATGTCTTCTAAACCAGCAAAGGCATCATCTGTAGAATTAACATTGCACAGGGTATAAATAGGGGAAAATCGGTGATGCAGAATCGTTGGAAATAAAGCAATAAAGCAGGAGTAATTTCTCAAAAGGCTCACGGAGTAACAATTGAAACTCGTATAAAAGTAAAAGTAGGTATAATAAACAACTACATTAAAAAATATACCCATTACACAGTCATATCCTTGAAGGTGTGGCCATATTGGTTTACTGTAATTAATCTACACCCCAGTGGAGGAAACACTTTGAAACTACTTATTGATTTTGAATTCTGTGTGTAATAAAACATCAAGCTCAGCACTTCTGTGGCATTTTAATTAGTATGTGTGACCTTGGTGGTAACTGAGCAGCAAGCTCTTTATTGATGTCTATTTGCTTATAGTGGATAAAGAGGGCCGGGTTCGAATACAACTGTATATTTGTGATTTGCTGCACAAACCTGAATTAATTTGTTATACAGCTCCTGATGGCCTTAGTTTGTTGAACCAGTCTTGCATATTTTAATATTATGACCATGTAATGAAATCTAGGAAACAACCTGTAATACAGCAGCTCTTTAAATGACACTTTTTCACATTTTCACAACAGACATACAGGTTTTTAGATCAGAAAAAGTGTGGCCGTTTGTTATCTGCTAAAAGAGGCAAGCAGGCGACCATATTTAACCGCAGTTCAAACACGACCAGAACTCTGATGGTGGCTAATGAACCTCCAGATTGAACCGATACACAAGATCTAAATGCTTCAAACATGGCTGAGGAGGCAAGTGTAAACAAAACACAAATATGATGGTCTGCAGTCACTGTTGATTTTCAAAATTCAACAACAGTAAAGCACCAAAGGCTATAGATGTTGGAGTGTAAATTATAATTTGGCAGCCTACAGTGATGGACCATTTTCCCATTAAGCTAATAGCATGGACTTGATAGCTGTTGACATTATTGAAGTCACTGTAAGCGTTATTTTTGCTTGAGTACATATTAAACACAAGGTAAAATATATTGATTTGTATTCGACTCTATTCATCAATGTCCATGCTTCACTAACGGCAACATTATCCTCTTTTTCCATCCCCTCACCTCATGTCTTTATTCACACACTGTAATCTATTATGACATGTACATGCAACATCTGCACACATGATATAAGAGGTGTTGTATATTTACTGTAAGCCTTAGCCACAGGGGTGTTCAGTTTCCAGCTCTTGCCTCAGGCCATTTTCTGTGTTCTGGCAGGGACTCATTTGTGCTGTTTATGTTTCCTAAATTCCCATGGCCTGCCTGAATGAAGGGCTGGTGAAAACCCGGCTCTGAACCATTTGTTGCTGAAGCAAGAAGCGTAGTTTACATGGATGGAGTGAGAAGAACAGCAGAAATGTAGGTAAAGGAAGATTAGTTTCATATTAAATAGTGGGAAAGGTAAACACAAAAAGTCTTGACTCTGAGATAAATGTAAATGCATTTGCTTGAGTAATGATACATCAGGTCATCTAGACTATCTGCTGGTGTGTAAACGGTCAAGCATCTTTTCATTTCAGAACTATTAATCCATACAAGTCAGCCTTAAAGGGACTTTGACCTAAAACTTTCATTTTTCACAATTATTCCAGGCTAAAGTAGCGAGCTGAATAGGGGTTTTGAAAACTGGAATCATTAGCTTACACCTTCTGAATAGCTCTGAACTTTTGAGGACTCTTTTTAGAAGCAACAACAACAACAGAGTGATGCTCGTTTTTTATTGAAAAGAAAGAGCATTCTTCTTTAAGAATGTAGCCTAGCTGCCTCCAGGTCGCGCGAGGGTCAATCAGAATCGTTGACCGCTGGTTCACCGTTTCATTAGTCCTCGCGCTGGACAGGGCCACGCAGGGGCTCGAGTCGGGTACTATGGATAGTTCACGCGGCCTGCGGGAGTCGCGAGCCATTGTTTTGCGCGGTTTCTCGTCGTGTATTGATTAGTGTCGAGTAAAGGCGAATGCTGGTTTTAAAATGAAGTCCTGAAAAGAAGCTAAAAGATACGAGTTAGCCGTTTTTTTTGTCTATACACTCTAATAAAAGAAGTATAACTTATTTTTTATGATTTGAGTCGAAGCTAACTAATTCCCCCTGCCGGTGTTCTTCTAGTGTCCGAATATCCCTGTTGGTCTATTTACTTATTCTGACATCGGTTAGCCGCATATGAGCTAGCTTACTCAGTATTAATCATTTGCCCGAATTTTCATTTTATTTCAATGTTGGCTGCAGTCGAATTTCTAATCTTACATGGGGGTTTCACTCAACAAAACCAAGTAGCCTGTTTCATTAAGCCCATAAACAGCCTCTCAGATGAGTTTTAGACAATCAGTTCAATAAATTCGCCTCTCATCACCGCTCTGTTTCTTTCTCTCTCTCTCTTTTTTTCTCTCCCTCTCTTTCTCACTCTGTCATATAAAGCCATTCAGATGGGGCTTTTCTTTCGGGGGTCGTTTCACTTTTTCATCTTAGACAGGCTGACCGCTGGCTCACCCCTCCGCCCCCGGCCCTCTGCCGGGTCAAAGCCGAGCTGAGAGCAGCTCTAACCCGGTTTAGACATTAAGCGACCTCGAGCCCTACATGAGAACCCGCGTGCGCCGCCCCTTACTGACCAGCGCGAGCGAGTAGCTGGAGCCGAATTAGATGAGCGGCCACACAAGACCATATCCAACAAAAATACAGTTTCTTAGTCAGAGGCGTATGATAGAAAATTGTATAGAAAGCCTAGTTTTAAAATTAGGTAAAATACTCTCTCAAGAACTCATCTCAAAATTGGAGAAGAATCAAGCTTTTCATTCTGACATTATTCTGGCTCACACTAGCTAAAAAAGCCAATTGTGCAATATAAATGAATGCGTAAATAGCCTCGATTATATAATCAGGCTCATTCAGTCTGTATTTAGGCTATCAAAATAATTTCTTGGAAGAAATTAAACGGTACACTGCGAATATCAATATCTGTTGTTTAAATTTAATATATTATTTATACCTTTTATTCATGAGGATTTTTTTTTCTTGTGCCAGTTTAAACGAGTCTGCAGGGCTGCAGAAAATTTGCTTTAATGCAGTATTTTTCTATTGTTAGGCATTTCAGATTAAAAAAAAAAAGTGAATCAAATGCAAAACAGTGATTAACCCATTGGGTTAGTCCCTAATAAAAAAGTTAATTCCGTGAAATAAATCCTTGTATTTTGCAATAATTGCAGAAATTTACAACAAAATTATTGTAAAAATTCTCTGTTATCTGATTTAACGTTTCTAATGGTCATAATTGAGTTTCCTGTCATAAACTTGCTTTAGTTTGCAGCCTGCAAGAGAGAAAGAGAGGGTGTGTGTTTGGAGAAGAAATAGTCGTAAAAATCCCACAACTTGAGAAAGTAGCACAACCCCTGATAAATGTGTTTACACTTACACTACATAACACCAGTAGCTACCAGAAGCCGAGTAGAACATCATTTAGTGCGGCAAATATTGAACCTCTGAAATCACACAATTTCAAAAAAAATGTAATTTTCTATTTTTTTCTTTCGAAGACTGATCTCAGTGTTTGAGCTATTTGACCCTTTTTGATCTTTAGTTATTTTTCAGGCACTGTTAGGCATGCATAAAGATCCATAACTTATAATAAATCCTAAATCCGCTAATCCTCGACATACTCTTAAAAGTAACTCCATATGTGCCTCCTTTAACCCATATGGTATATGCGCAAACAAGCTCACACACTTCGTTTCATGTAAAAAAAAAAACAAAAAACAAAAAAGGTTCATGTTACTTGTTGAACGACTTAATATTCCCTCTCCCTGTCTGACTTTGTACCGCAGCCGTTTTAGAAATCACCAATCAGGCTTCAAATCGTACAATAAATAAATCTATCAAATTTTAAATCTACAATATGATAAAACACGTTTCTATAAAGTGAGCCACTTCAAATTTAACGACAAAAACACGAATGATTTCAACAAAATAAGGCACCAGAAGATGTTGATTTTGTGAAGAAAACTTGAGGATGTTTGGATTATATGAAGAGGTGCAGGTGGATCTTCTCTGCCAAAGAGGAGCGTTTGGTGCTTCACATACCACAGCTTTAATCCGAGGGACTACCCCACCAGCACCCGCACCAGCAGCAGTTGCCCCCCTGCCCCTAACAGTCATAACTTCATATCCGCGCCAAATATGAAATAGTGTCACACTTACTTGTTCTGCTGTGATCTCGCGTTAAAACGCAGACGCTCGTTACAGTAAAATCCCAGCAGAGTGGATCGAAGCGGATTATCATAACCTCTTTTTCTGCTCTGTGTTGTTTCTCTCCGCCGCACAAAGAGCATTCTGTTGATTTCGGACAAATATCGGCTACCAATCCCATCTGGCCGCCTGTCGGCTATTCTCTCTGAGTTATATTTTGGGGCTTGTCAAACCGCGGGCAATAAAACACACTTTATTACCGTCACGTGCTCCGTTTTTTTTCCTTTGCTGCTCCCACGCGGGTTCATAAATTATTAGGGCCTGCTCCGAGAACCACTTTATTCGTTAATGGCGCCAAAGGAAAAAAAAAAAACCTTTAATCTCTGCGCTTTTTGCTGCTGAAAATGAGATTTAGCCCGCATGTGCATTTTGTTGTCACTTTCTCCACACGGTGTTTTAAATAGTCGCAGTGGATTATTTCTTCTGTTTTGGCCATTTTTTAATATTTATAAT